TCCAGGAGGTTTTTTCACTGGCACTATTTTTGCACAGTGAAAATCGGGGAAAACTTAACTCTGCTCACTACATTCGCGCAATTTACAACAGAGATATTAATTACGATATATATATGTGTGTATATATATATACATATATATATACATATGTACATATATAAATGCACATGTTTTTTAGTAGTAATTTATATATGCATATAAATTAATACTAGAAATTGCACGAAAAGGAATATATAACATGTGCTGGGAGTATGATGGCGTGCCAACGGGCTCTGGAACAGTGGACTTACAGTATCATCCGAAAGAGGCTGAAACAGTCGATTTTCATTGGCAAAGACGCTGCTGAGCACAGCTTCGAATTCAGGATCGCAGTCGGATGAAAGATCATACTGCAATGCAACAACATACTGAATACAGTGCTTTGATTCTGAAGGGCAAAAGTGGATCCTGGCATCACTGCCGCTATTACAGCGGAGTTTGTGACACAAGCACAATTTCTAGAAAGAATCGTACATGTATCAATGGCCACCAAAGACTGCATTCGACTGCTGAAATTCGAAAATAAGGAATTTATAAGCTTGCTTCCGAAAACATCACCATAATTTTAGGTTGTCAAAACACCGCACCAAAAAGACACAGTAATTCATGGGCAAGTTAAATCCTAAAACATTGTCTGGAGACATACCAGTTGTTGGTCGACAACAGCCGCACTGGAAGATGATGGACCGGCTAATGTGCTCCAAGCCCGCAGACTTTCTCTGAGATCGCTCACTTCGGCTTCGTCCTCACACTCGTCTCCTCCCACAGTCATGCTCTGCAAGCAACACAAACTGCAATACCATACCGACCGCTCTTTGCCTGCCCTTCGGCTTTCCAATATCACTTTATTAGCCCAAGCCTCTTCCACCTTCCTTCCTAAAACCACCATAATCACCCAAATGGCGCCTTCTTGCTCATCAATCCGATATACTTTTTGCGTAGCTATAGCGCTCCCTCGCCACGTGAACAGTTCACATTTTGTAGTATGGGCCAATATTCCTAAGCGGAACCAGAAATGACTATAATTGAGAAATGTTCACAGAATTCCGGAATAACCAAAAACAACACTTATAAAGCGGCCAGATGGCCCCATGTTCATAGAACTGCGGAATAACCAAAAAGCTCCAAAAAAGAACACAACCAAAACGACCGTTAAGCTTGCCTTTCATAATCAGGGGAACGCTCAGGAAAAAAAAAGCCAAGTCAAGAGACCGTTACTTTTTAACTGTTAGGAAAATTTTTTTTGCATCTTGACTATCTGCTGGCCAATCCGGAGGAAAAATTCCACAGTTCGCTAATCAAACCCAGATATACACCAAGTTTACTAGTGCGACTCATGCATTTTTGTGATAAATTTGAAGCAGTCAGATCGTTAACAGCATTAATGGTTCCTGCATTGCAGTTCAACACGCCGCAGGCTCATGTTGGGCATGCTTTGGCCTTTTTTTGCATGCTGGGGGAAAACAGCGTCAGCTAAAACAGTAGTCCTGCATCATGGGGACCGCTTGAATCTCCAGTATGCATAATCATCAATTCTGCATGAACAGGAACGAACAGTTCCTGGTGGTCAGTCGTTAAAAATGCAAGTTTGACAATAAAGGGGATATTGGGGAAGAAGGATTACGAAAATCGCAAAATGCACTCGCTTTTGAGGTGGAGCTAAAACTGAGTGATCATCGCATATTGTCCGATAAACGAAATCGTCACTTCGCTAGAAATATTTCTGACCTGTACTAAGGCGTAGCGCAAACACAAATCGAAACTCGATTTAGGTATACAACTTTCCAGACTAATGATATTCTAGCGAAATCACAGTTGTTTTTTCGCCAATTTTCGTGCTGGCCGGTGCCAACTTGCAAGGCGTGACTTAATTGCGCATATGGAGCAAGCGTGCGCGGTAACTGAATTTGGAATCTTTAGCTCACACATGGACAGAGAATATCCCTGCAATGCCCCAACTTTCTCCGTCTGCCAGTTCCCGAAATCGTTTACCACTCAAAAATTTGCGGTTTTTTTCAGGCGTCCGTGCGTAAGCGTTAATTTCAAAATGGGAGGATGGCAGAAGGAACAGGCTGCAATATGCTCCAAAAGTTTCAGCTTCCCAGCTTTCCCGGCTGCAGAGTTGAAAGCGGGTGACGAAGTTCACTTGCCTTCGGGCACACACAGACAGCCTCTTAACAATATGAGTTTCTGCATCTGCGTAAAAAGCAAATGCGCATGATAAATGAGCTGACGTTACTTCCTTTTATCTGCGAAATTCGGAAGCCCAAACAGCATGCGCTGGTCAAGGAGTGAGAAATCTGTTTTAGAACGATTGATGAACTGAGGTCATCATCGGCTGCTGCACCCAAAAAAGAGGATCGGGAAAAGTAGATCACATACCACAGTGCGCCATCGTCCTGGATTATCGGACTCGACAGATACGACAGCACTGACTTCGGAGCTCATCACATTGTACAAACATGTGATGAGAAACTTCTTAGCAGCGGCGGCAGCAGCAGCAGCAGCAGCGGCGGTGGCAGCGGTACATCCATCCAGATTGCTTTGGCAGCAGACGTTCGTCGGATATACGAGGCCGCTGATCGAGGACGAGGAGGAGGAGGAGGAAGAGGAAGATGATGAGGCTTGCGGCTACTCCTCCTGCTAGGCTATTGTGCCACTGCAATGAGCCCTGGTTCATTCCACTTTCATCATGCATTCCAGCAAGCACAGAAGTTCGCTAGCTCCCTCCCAAAACGATAACCAGCAAAAATTACCGATCTCTGGCACTATTCAATGCGCATAAATCTGCATGTGCACCAAAATCACTCGATAAAATCGGCATCGTTCAGCTGCTTCTTCAAAAAACCATTCACCACACGTAACCTGCAACAGTGAACTGTTAACGAAGCCCACTGCACGCAGCATGGGACAAGGCTGACCAGGGTCGAAAATCCACGAAACTCACATTCCAGTCACGGACAGCAGCGCGCGAGACGTGCAAAATCACCGACCAAACGGCTCGCGGTACACCCTGCGTGACGACCGAGGAGACGCGACAATTTAACGCAGCCAATGAAAATGCAGCTCCCACCGGCTGCGGCGACGGCGGCACCTGTGTTCGCGCTACACGCTAAGGCGCGCAACTTTCACGGCACGGCTTTCGCGCACCCCGCGTCCCCAACTGCGTAAACAGACACTGTCGAGAAGTAGCCGACCGTATGTTTACATTTGCCGAGGTTATTTGCTACTCGAAACGTCGCAGACAGATTTCGTTGCGACGGCTGACGCCTGCTGCGCGACCACTGTTGCGACGGCTGACGCCTGCTGCGCGACCACAACTGCAGAATAAATCGCTCCGCAGATCAAACAAACATGCGTTTTTACGCAGTTCTACTCAGCGCATCTAACTTTTTCGGCTGTGAAATGAGATGGAGCAATTTGCACTTCAAAATTTCGCGTGATCACACTTGTCGCATGGACGCACATGAGAGTTAAATTTGAAATTCCAAGCCCTCCCTTGAGCAGAGGACGCCTCCGTGAAATTTCAGCTTTCTATCTTGTCTGGTTCTCCAGTTGGAAAAATAGTCAGTTTTGAATTTCAAGTATCCATTCACACGTAAAACATAAAAGGTTGGGCAAGTTGCTTTATACGTCTTACAATGAGAATCTAACTGTGGACTGTGCTCACGAATTTTCAGTTTTCTAGTTTGTTCGATACTCGAACTGTTTCAGCCTCCAAACAACCCTGGTTCCCGAGTTAGCGATTTTCCCGTCAAAACTTCACGTGTCCGTACACGGGTTGCAGACGTGCG